AATTAGTGAGTCAACCAGATTCAATACTGGGAAGTTACATTGTTCAGCGATCAATGAAAAATGCGGCTTCCTGTCGCTTCTAAATTTATAATGATTGATATTGATTCCCAAATCTTTAGCAAAGTTTTGAGTGCGTAGCAGAAACTAACTTGGCTCCAAAATTCAGTTCATTGAGCAGCAACAATTCAATTGAAAGGTGCAGAGGCAAATGCATACAAACACATGAAAAAGGGGAAATGCAGCTTATAGCACATTCATGCTACCAATAAAGTTCCTTCTTTTAAGTTACAAAACTGACAGTACAAACAAATCAGCCTTCCCAGATACCTCAAAAGGGGAGGGAAAGAAAAACTAAATAACATTGTTGGCCAAAAAATGATAACATTACATCAATTTATCCAAATTGGGCTTCGCACCAAAACAATGAAAAACGGGGTATTGTAAAAGACCAGCACAATGAAAAATCACAACAATCGCCAAGATTATTGGAAGACGATAGATAAACGGACCTTACTAAGTGACGGCTCACGCGAAGAGTACAGACGTGGGTTTTCTCACGGGTCGTATGAAATTGGCTTTAAACGAGTGAAGAAGGGCCTAGGTTTTGGACGACGAAAGAAACAACCAGGGATGGATTTTTCACGGAGGCACACAGAAAGAAGATGATAAACGATGGAAGATGGAGAAGGAGACGCCCAAAACGAATCATCAACACAATCAAACTTCAACTTAAGACACAAATTTTGTAGGAAGCCCATTTACAGAAACAGGCTAATGAGCAATGAATAGTATCTTTTGTAAAAAAAATGCAGATAAAAAGATTAAAGCTACAAAGAGATAAAAGACGAAGTTTTGAATATGGAAGAGAAATTGATAATATTTATAAGACCTGGCCACTGGCTTGAGACATTGCGCTGCTAAGGACGACAATCTATCTGCAGATTCGCTGTTTCGCAGGAAGTAAAGTGGGGAGCGAAATCCGTCGTCTCGGCTGAAGTAATACAGTTTCAGTGGCAGTTTAGTAATTTTGGCAAACTCCTCTGACAATACTCAAAACATCACCGTACTTTCACTACTTTGTATGGACCTCTCCAGATGAAGTCATTGGGAATGAAATCTCTTCCCTTTTATTATTTTTTGTCTTTTATAAAATTTCAATTGAGTCACCTAAATTTAATTTTTTATATTTATTTTGATTAACCGTATAGCCTATTTAAGATGAAATATCATACTAATTTGTAATGAATTAAATTAATTAGAATAATTTTTCTTGGTTTAACTTTTTTTTCTCGGTTACAACAAGTGCTTCATTAACCAAAAAGATCATATTGAAATATAGATTTTAATTATTCTTTTTTATCATCCAACTTAAATGTTATCTAAAAATTATAAAAAAATTCTCAAAAGTATATTACTGATTGTGGCTGGATGGAACAAAAGAGTTTAATTTCTATTAAATAAGGTTAAGATTTGTGAGTTAATAGAAATATTATGCTAACAAAATTATTTCAATTAGATTACTTCAGATGTATCAATTTCTTTTAACAGAAGACTCGCCCTTGAATATGTTATGGTATAGAGGTGAAAATTCTCCCATATGCATATAAAAATGTCTCCCAACTGTTTTTTTTAATTTTATACAATTTCCTTTTAAATAAATGGGTATTTTGCATATACTTAAAATACACTAATTCATACTCTTCTATGTTCTGATTTGTACCCACTTGCAATGGGCTTGGGCATCAATCCATTGAATGGACTTCATTAAATCCAACATTAGATTCTTCTTCTGTTTTATTTTTAAATACATCCAGTTCTTTGTGCTTTCAAGAATCATGATTTAAGTAATTTATATATACTCCCAACCAATAGGAATTAAGTCTAGTAAAAATGGTTAGTTCTTCGTAACATGACGAACTAATATTTGAATAAGAGATACCTATATTTAATGTCTAATAATACTTCGAATGAAAGGATATAGCAACTAAAAAACTTATATATACTCTCTCAGGCCCAAAATATACAAAATTTTATAAAAAAATTTTTGGTCCAAAATATATAACCACTGATATTTTCCCACTTTTACCTTTTATTATAAGGAGAGAAAGTTTTAAATGCAAAAGAAAGCAGAGAGAATTTTTTAATAACATTCTTTAATAATAATAAAATATATAACTTTTATGAATTTACAACACATGCAATGACTTAAATAACACTCCTTAATTCGTGAAAAAGCTTAACTAATGTCTTATATTACGGGTCAAAAGAGGTATAACATTATTAAGGGGAGTTTGTTTCAGCTTTTTAGAAGTATTTTCATTTTAAACTGAGACAAAATTTTCCTCATATATTTATATATAAAATCACCTTCGAGCAACTAATTCAAACACTCCCTGACACACACGCATGCCTGGGCCTAATCAGAAGAGCCGAAAGAGACGTGATGTAATTAACAAACATTGACTTGGTTATCGTTGAGAGATGAGTATCTTGTTTAAGGCTTTAGATATATAAACATGCGTATATACCATCACACAACACAGAATCTGAAACAAATAATATTTTATAACTAAGTTATGAATATTATGGTTTCATGTTGATTTATAGATTTCATGTAGTTGCATATACTATAATATACCAAGAAAAAAGAAAGTATAAATGTATATCGACGTACAGTTACAATCCAATATACTTGGGTTTACGTAGTGTAATTTGATCAAAGTCCCGATCCGATACTGACGTGAACATGCACACCTCCCAGCTCAGCCAATCACAAGCGTCGAGGCCCCAAGCTATGGGCCCCACCATCACAGTGACCATAAAAAGGCACTGTTGCTTCGTTCAAAACATTGCCTCCTCCACACAAACTCCCTCCTGTTCTTCCTCCTACATTCACATCCCACACCTTTCGCAATATTCAACCCTGCGAAAGGCGAAGAGCGTCTCCGAGGAATTCGCGTAGCCACCCACCATTTTCTTTGGTAAATTAAGCATCCCATCTTCTTCTTTGGTTTTCACTCTCTTGTGTCATATATTTATCCCATTCCTTTCTCCTCAAATTCACTCTTTTACATATCTCATTGATTATACTCAAGGCAGGAGGCTATCGTTTTTAGGTAGAACATTCGTTCTTCAGTTTTTTTTTTTATTGGGTTTTGTTTTTTGTCCCTTGTTGTGTACTATTGTTTCGAGGATCGTTAACTGTTTTTTTTTGGACTGAGAGGATCGTTAACTGTTTGATCCGCATGATTTCTCACTTGCATTTCCTTCTGGTTCTTGTGGATGAATATCATTGAATATCTGGGATTTTATTTACATTCTGAGCTTAGATTATGTGTATGAACTGATTAGATCTTGGTGGCCGTTACATGTATGATATATTTTTTCAATGATCACAGATTTCTAACATCAGCATATCTTGTTCTCAGAGGAGCTTTTTGGAAATTTTAATATGTGGCGGTCTACATCCTCGTAATTCTTGTTTCACGCTTTGTCTTACGATTAATTTTGTTGTTTCTGTCTGAATAATTATTTCCTATGTATTATTAAAGCATGCTTGGTGATTTTGTTTTCCCTCTATCTTGATTGTTGTGAAAGTTCATGTCCCAAATCAATGTAATTCATCAATTTATCAGACATTATTTGACATTGTTTACTTACTTTCTTCATGGCAGTCGCCATGGTTGATCAGGTTCATCACCCCACCGTCATACAAAAGGTCGCTGGCCAATTCCATCTCCAATCTGGTCTTTCTGCTGATATTAAAAGTCATGATAACAGTTTCAGTCGACCTGCTCTTTACCAAAGACGATCATTTGGGAATTACTCAAATGCTGCACTTCAGTATCCATCAATGCCAGCATGTAGACCAGCAACTGAAATCTCCTCTATTTCTGCGACAACAGGCTCACCTATCTTTGTTGCTGCTCCAGCTGAGAAAGGAAATTTCGTTGTGGACTTTCTTATGGGTGGAGTTTCCGCTGCTGTATCAAAAACTGCTGCTGCTCCCATTGAACGTGTCAAACTTCTGATACAGAATCAAGATGAGATGATTAAAGCCGGTAGGCTCTCTGAGCCCTATAAGGGTATTGGGGATTGTTTTAACCGAACAATTCAATCTGAAGGTGTTGCTTCCCTATGGAGAGGTAACACTGCCAATGTCATCCGTTATTTCCCCACACAGGTCAGCCATTGACTTACCACTCTTGGCAATTTTGTTCTGATGAACTGTGATGCTAAAGAAGGTACTCAAATTCTACCTGCAGGCCTTGAACTTTGCTTTCAAGGACTACTTCAAGAGACTTTTCAATTTCAGGAAGGACAAGGATGGTTACTGGAAATGGTTTGCAGGCAACTTGGCCTCTGGAGGAGCTGCTGGTGCTTCATCTCTATTGTTTGTTTACTCCCTCGACTATGCTCGAACCCGTCTGGCAAATGATGCAAAGGCAGCTAAGAAGGGTGGAGGAGAAAGGCAATTCAATGGACTTGTTGATGTCTACAAGAAGACCTTAGCTTCTGATGGTGTTGCTGGCCTTTACCGTGGCTTCAACATCTCATGTGTGGGAATCATTGTGTATCGTGGTCTTTATTTTGGAATGTACGATTCTCTGAAGCCAGTTCTCTTGACTGGAAAGTTACAGGTTGGTTTTCTCACTCCATTCTTTTCCTGAACGACATTGCATGGTACTATGTTACGGCTTTTATGATGTTTCATCAACAACGAGATCATGTCAAGAATATTACATCACTGTGGTCCATTATCTGTTTTAATTGTTGGATGGATTCTTAAAACAAACTCTTTTTATGTTAAGTATATGCTGACAAACTTGTCTTCTATGTTCTGAACAATGTAATCTATTTCGTACCTCCCCTTGTGCAACATAGGTGTCCTGTTATCTGTTCTGAATATGCAAATTACATCTTCTACGTTTGTTCATTCAGAGAAAGGCTGACATAAAGGAACTTGACTGTTAATTGTGCATGAGATTCATATCCCAAATTGCACCACAAGATTCCTTTTTTGTTGACAAAATTATTTGATGAAACCCTGAAGCATGCTAGCTGTTTTGTTCAATGAGTGCAGGATAGCTTCTTTGCTAGCTTTGCACTGGGATGGCTCATCACCAATGGTGCAGGGCTAGCATCATACCCCATTGATACTGTTAGGAGAAGGATGATGATGACCTCTGGTGAAGCAGTCAAGTACAAGAGTTCCATGGATGCATTTGCTCAGATTCTTAAGAATGAGGGAGCTAAGTCCTTGTTCAAGGGAGCTGGGGCTAACATCCTCCGTGCCGTCGCCGGAGCCGGTGTGCTTGCCGGCTATGACAAGCTACAGGTATTAGTGTTCGGGAAGAAGTATGGATCCGGTGGTGCTTAAACTTGAAGATTTCTGATTCATATTTAGTGTGTAGATGATCATGAAAATCTGAAGTTTTCTGAGAATTTTGACAAATTGCTCCGGCAGATTTTTTTTTTAATAATTTTATTCTATGGGATTATGTCCCAGAATCAAAATTACTGTCACTTGCATCCACTTTTTTGGATAATTTTGAGAAATATTCTCTCTCTCTCTCTCTATATATATATATATATATATTAAGGAGCTTTAATTTTTTCCCCCTAACATAGCTTTATTCTTCATCTTATCTAGCATATCTGATATGTTCATACTTCCTTTCATTTTTTTCTCCATAAAAATGTAAAATATTGAAGCGTGTTCATGACAAGAATAGAGATAACAAAGCTGGAATATTATATATACATATCTTTTTAAAAATTTATAACTTCAAATCAAAACAGAAGCACTGGCTTCACTGTTCTAACTCATGATTCACGACTCTTTTGGGAGCGAGATCATTTGGGTTGTTGGCTTTTGAATTTTAAACTTTTTATTTAGTCTTCATAAACTTTGTTGTCGTGTCACATATGGTAAACTTTAAATGAAATTCATGTGTCTAAAATGTAGTTTGACTAACTTGAGAATGAAGGAGAGAAAAATAGGGGGTAACTTTTTCTTTTCTTTAAATATTGGTTTGAAATTCTTAGTTTTATTATTGTTATAATATCCTTATTATTTGTTTTGAAGATACTCATTTTAGATATTAAAATATTGGTTGAATTATACAAAATCTTCTTGAATTCCAAGTTATACGCGGATAACTTGTGTAATCTGATATAATAAAATTCATATTGATTAAACTCATTATTATTTCACTAATAAAATAACATATAGTACTGCCTCATGTTCTTAATATAAAAATTTGTTTAATTTTTATTTTGATTTTAAATATAAAACCTTAATCCACTTTGTTTCTCATATTTATCTCTTTTTTTAAGATAGTCTTTGTAATAATAATAGTTCTAACTAATATACTTGATTAGCAAATATATTTTAGGAAAGACAACATCTATTTATTACAAATAACTAACTTAACTAAATTTTTTAATCTACTTAAATTAGTCAACTAATTCTTATATTAAGGACTGGAAGTAGTACTATAAAACAATGAGGATTACTTTTTAAAGAATTTTATCGTCAAATATTTAGAAATGAAAGACATTATCAGTCGTTAATTTACGCAATTGAAGGCCATTAAAATCAGCTAAAATATTCTTTACCATAATAGTTAAGTGAAGGGACACCTTATGATTCCAAATCTGGGATTAATAATAAAGTGGGATTCCCTTCTTTAACTTTGGAGAAGTAGACCCAACCAAAAATGCTTCTTCTGTGCAAATGCTTTATCAAAACAGCGACATGTCTGTGTATGATGCAGAAATACCAATTTGATCTTCTGCTTTGATGATCTTTTGCGCATTTTTGACCGCCTGTTCTTCTAATTTAGGCCAATCCCCTCTCTGTCCTAATCTGTGTGCATGTGTGTCTCTTTGCATTTTCTCAGAGACTTGTCTCTCTGGCTCTCCCTAAAGCCTAACCCCTATGATTATTATTGCCTTCAAATACACAATTCCTTGCTTGCTTATATATGAAGCTCTTCTTTGGTCCCATGGTCCATAACTTCATACTATCTCCGATTCTAATTATAAAAATCAGTTGACTGATTTGAGAAGATTAAGGAAATGAGTTAAATCAGTTATTTGTAATAAATAAGTGTTATTTTTCTTAAAATATCTTTGCTAATCAAGTGTATTGGCTAAAATTACTATTATTAAAAAAACTGCCTTGGAAAAAAATGTATAAATATTATAGACAAAGTGAATTTGGGCCTTATATTTAGGATCAAAATAAAAATCAAACGAGATCTTATATTAAGAATTGCAGGTAGTATTACTCACCCATGCATTCACCTCTATTCCTTTTTATCCTTGCTTGTTTTAGCACAACAATGTTGTAAGTAAAGAAATACATAACCAGAGTAAGTGAACAATAACAACAAAACATTATCTTGATAGTTGTGTCAGTTATATGGATCACATAATATCATTTTGCTCTATTAATAGCTAAGTTTTTTAATAGATTATTAATTAAAAAACCTCGGTCAATAACTTTATTTGGTATTCTTTTTTTTTTATGTTTTTTTTACGCTTTTTTTAAAAGCCTAGTATGTGTATGGGGCCATCCATTCAATGCGTTTGCTACTTATCTAGTAACGCATGATGCTGTGATAATAATTAAACAAAGATAAATATATTATGGGTGTTGCTCCCTCCAGTCTTTATTATAAATACGTAATAATAGCTATACATAAATTAATAAAATTAGGTATCCCGTAAAATATAAGGAATTATTCTTAATAAATTTTATTTGTTGGAAGAATTTGATTAATTAGTAAGGAAGTTTTATAATTAGTTAGTAATCTTCATTTGATTTTAGTGTTTCAAACATTTTAAAGAGGACAGGTAGTCTTGGTTATTTATTATTTATATCTCAATTTAATTAATATAATATAATATGTTGGCAAAAAAAATTAGTATGATATACTATAATCAAATGACCCAAAATCATGGAGGCAAACAGCAACTCATTGAACCGCCACAATAATATTAAAGCAAGCATTCTTATCAATTCCCAGCCACACACACACACACACACACACACACTCACACACACACGTTTAAAAAAAAAAAAGGCCGACATGTTTGGATTCCTGTGAAGAAAATCTAATGGCAGATCGTGAGTTGAAGATAATTGGACCGAAAGAAGTTGGGGGAAGAAACTATTGCAGCTTTTGCTCACCTAACTTGCTATGAATAAATTCCACGCAAATATAGTATTTTATTTTTATTTATTTTGTTTCCTGATTTGCTAGTAGGTTTTGCAACAGTAGATCAGTCTACAAAAAGTTAAACACCTTGTTTTCTTTTAAAAATCCTTTTCCCTGTGGTTCACAAGCATACAGACAAAACCATGCACGTCGCATGTTTTTGCCACTGTTTTGGCCTGCTTTCATTATTATAGTTTCTTTTTGTCATTTACGGTCTCTCCCATATCCACATACTATAAGAATTATATTTGTAAATAAATTTGATTGAATGTAAAGCATTAATCTATTTTATTTTTTAAATTTACAATTTTTCCTAAATTTTCTGTGCCAATTACAGGTATTAAAAGGCTTTTTTTCCCTACAATGGGAGTAGTTTCCAATGAAAATTATTGCTATAGCAACTTTGAAAAAAATAATATAGATATTTTTTAAATAAATAACTAATTTAACTAATTTTTTAATCTTTATAAATTAATTATCAAACTCCTACATTTACAACATGTGAGAATCTATTTTTTTCACCACCATTTCAAGAATCCACGTCTAAATGCATGACATTGTAGTTATTTAAGGTTCTTATATTGGAATATGTTTGTGCTCATATTATAGGAAGAATTACTATTTGTATTTTAAGAAAGGAATTTAATTACTGATAAGTGAGTAATAAAAACTTATTGTCATTTTCTATATAGAAATTTGTTATTGTATGTGTTTTTGGTTGTTATCGGGCTTTAAATTCCTCCTTTGAAATATCATACAGTGATTCTTCCCTTGTTTTCCTATGAAAAAGAAATGCATGTATAAGTGGGATGATTGAATAACCTCTCTATTTTACTGCATTCCATGTTTAATGTAAGAGCTAATTTAACGGTCAACTTGATCCTAAATATAAAATCGTAATCTATTTTGTCTTTCATCTTTATCTATTTTTTCTAAGATAATCCTTGTAGTGGCTGTACATGTTAAAGATTTCATTAGATAGTAATTTTAGCTAATACACTTATTTAGTAAAGGCATTTTAGGAAAAACAATACATATTTATTACAAATAACTAACGTAACTAATTTTTTTAATCTGCTAACTTTTATATTAAAAACCACATGAAGTATAATATACAATTTATTTTTATTTAATTATTTGATATCTAATATTAAAGAGTCATATATTTAAATAATGTTGCGCTCAAACAAATTATGGCAAATTGTTAAATCAATATCACCATTTATCACGCCAATAATGGCAAAATATAGTAGTAGTAGTAATAATAATAATATATTTTAGGGTAATATCTCATTCTGCTTCGATGCAATCATTTTGTTGCTAGCAGTTTTTTTTTTTTGCAACCATATTTATTATACAAGATAAAATTCATTTTTAATCAGACATATCTATATTCCATATTATATAAAGTTTAATACAAGCCACAATATTAACGATTTATAAATAATAGCACCACTTTTTATGCTGCATTTTTAAATAAATTATCGATTATGTTGTATATTTCTTTTTATAAAATCACATAAAATTTACTATTGCCAAATTAGACAGATTGGAGGTATTGATACTAATTCAAATACTATAAATTATACTATCTTTGGTCCTAAATATAAGAGTTAATTTATATTTTGTAATGTAAATTACACTACAAATTAATATTTATACTACCTCCAATCCTTAATATAAGACCTTATTAGGCTACTTTTTTGGTCCTAAATATAAGACCTTAATCCATTTTATCTCTGATATTTATGTATTGGTTAGTAAGGATATTTTAAGAAAAACATTTATTTATTATAAATAACTAACTTAACTTCTTTCTTTAATCTCTTCAAATTAGTCAATTAGCTCTTATAAATAGGATCGAAGGTAGTATTTAAAACAGAACTTAGTAGATTATATTTTTTAATTTGCGATAAAATCACCTATAATTCTGTATTACCAAATCTGACAGATTTGAGTATTATTAGTTCTTTAAGTCATTCCCTCACATTGATTTGTCCAATTTACTATGAAACAATTTTTTTCCCTTAAATATGAGCTTAGAGGTTCATTTTTTCTATAAATAGTTTAGGCTATGAGAGTTTTTTTTTCCCATTGGTTTAAAGAGAAAAAAACAAAATTACAAACCGGACTAGTTTTTTTTTTTTTTTTTTAAAAAACTCATGTTAGAAAGTTAGAATTTAGAAAAGCGTTGGATTCCCGTTCCCGAGATTTTTCTTATTAAAAAAAATATAATTGATTTGATATTTATCCTAACAAATAAATAAAAGTATAAAACAGAGAAAACGCCAGGGAGGGACATATATAATAAAATAATTACACGCCCCTCTCTATCGTTCTCCCACTCTTTCTCTCTCTAGGCCCTGCCTCACAGACACTGCTGCTTTTTTCTGCCCCCAATCTCTCTACTCAACATTGTCCCTTCTTCCTCTCCGTTTCTCTTGGCTCGAATGCTCCTTGTTTCTCTGACTTTCGTTTCCTTCCTTCTTGGATTTTCGCGGCTCTTTGGAATGTGATACTGCAGATTAAGGTAAAATGAGACGTAAATCTTCTTTCGTTTCTGGCTCCGTTTTTGGTTACCGATGAAAAAAATCTGACGAAATTGCAGTCTAGAATGTTAATGATGAAGTTTTTGTCGTCTTGCGTGTCAGTTTTCTGAGTAATGTGCGGGAAAATAAAAGGAAAGGAAGAAAGATAGAGAGGAAGAAAAGGCGAGAATCTTGTGTGGTGTGTAAGTTGTGAGTTCCACTCACGGTCACGGATAATATTTCTACTGGAAGGTTTCTGTTTGACGAATTTGTTCCTGGAAAACGAAATTTGATAGTTGAGGATGAGAATCCCGGATTTACTCATTTATTTCCTTTACTAATTTTTTTAGTCTGGCGTGTGGTGATTTACATCATATGCAGGTTGCTCTTTTTCCTTTGTCCTGTTGTCGTTGAAGTATTGATTCAAGATGAATGATGGTAGACCGATGGAGCTGCATTACATCAACCCTGTTTTTCCATATACTACTACTGAAAGCTTCATGGAGTTTTTCGACGGACCGCCAGTGGATTATGATCACGCTGGACCAATTCCTTATCAGGTTGTAGTTATATATTGAAAGCGCATAAATGCTAACGATATAACATGGTGCTGGACGTTAATTGTTTTTGCATGAAAACTGTAGATCTATTTTATTTAAGGGCGGATAGTACTGTTACTGTACTTGTTGAATTTGTATTTTCTAAATTGACGCCTGGTCTTGCGACAAACTTCACCGGAAATTTTTTAGGAGTAAAAGCAGAAGTCTTCTCTTGTATGTTGTTATCTATCACCTCAGGAACCAAGACCAGAGATTTTACGCAGAATTTTGGATTTTTTCGTTTGTCGATGGGAATCTAAGGCTCCCTATGAAATTAATGTCAAAGCCATTAGACATCTTGGATTTTACTGATTATGCACGAATCCCAACCTATGTTATACCGACACAAATATCCTTTTGACGGAGTGGTTTGTGGACATTAAAGTGCAAGGGAGCATTTTGGATGCTTTTTTTCTCTTCAAAGAATTCTAGTGAGATTCGTGTACGTCGTAAGAATATAGGGAAGGTGAGTGTCAACTCAATAAGATTCAGAAGAAAGGCGGTAAAATTACTATTCGTTTACTTGAATCGCAAATGCTGCATTGCAAGCAATTCTGGGGGGCAGGTGTATCTACCAACATTCCATTTGTCTCTACTTTTAATCATGTCTTGTTTATAGCTATTCATGGACCTCATATATTGTGATTGGCTTTATTTTTCTCACTAATCAAATAGTTCTGCCCGATTAAACATGATCATAATATATCATAATGCATATTGTCATATGCTGGTGGTCAGGAATACTGGTCAATGAACATGAACCCTTACAAGTTTGGATTGTCTGGTCCGGATGGTGCATCTTATTATGGTTCTTACGAAGAAGATAATAGTTTCCCTAGACTGGAGGTCGACAGGGGAGAGTGGGAATATCCTTTAACAACGACCACTGAGGAGCCCACCACAACAGGCTCTCCATCCAGAGGGGACGGAGTGAATGGGATGCAGACCATTACTGAACAATGTAAGCTCAAACCTGCTTTCCTTTCCTATGCACATGGCCCTATGGTCACACTTATAGCTTATTAGCATCAAATTAGATTGTGGGGTATAAGATGAATGACATTACTCATAACTTATGAATAGTAATTTTTTTTGTAGATTTAGATTATATATATTATATAGTTGCCTAATGTAAGTCGTTCAGTGGAAATTTCCTTACTCTCAAAATGAGTACTATGTAAACTTATATATGTATATTTTATTAGTTTCTAGTGGCTTGCATCACAGTAATGTTTCTGGAGAGATGAGAGACAGGGAAAAGGTGTGGGCTGGTAAAGCTGAAATCACCCATAACTTTTTAAAGTGAAGGTCCCCCTGCCCCGCTTCTTTTTCTTTTTCTCCGCTGATCTAATTGCTGTTTTAGTTTGTATTAGAAAAGTAACGGAGCTACAGCAACCTTGTCTTTTGGGATTCGTTTTGTAGATGTGGAATGTATTTTATCTTTCATTTTTAGAGTTGGGATGCGAGTGCTGTTTTACATTGTATTCTATCTGGAAAAGTGTGAGGATTATATGATGAAATTTTTTTTGTTTTGCAGCCAGCCCAAATCGTCATGATTCCAGTAGTGCTCCGGTAGGTGGCCTTCTTATTCATGTGCCTGATTTAAGAACCTTTGGCAGCTCCTTTCTTCTTTCTATGTTTGGATATATGTCAGGGCTTCCCGGTAAGGCTTGCGGGGGAACCTATACGCTTGAAAATTTGGAGACATCTTTGATTACTGGTTACATTCATTTTCTCTCTGGAAAGAGAGGGGTGAAAGAAATTATATATTTCTTGAAGATGATACTTGATTCCCCAAACTGACTTGATGTCCGACGGATAAAAGAGTCCTCTTTGGAATATGCTCTATATAACTTGGAATTAGTTAGCTGAAAAGGGGGAAAATGAGAAAAATACAGAATCAATTTTGCAGTTCAAGCACTTAATTATGTTATAAGGTTGACCCATGCTACATTTCTTTTTTTCCTAACTTGTGACTTGATATGGATTTAGTTATTAATAGAGCACAAGAGCATCATGTGATCCATATAGCCAATCTTATTTAGTAGGATAAGGCTTGCTGTTGTTGTAACTTATGATTTGATAAATTGAAACCAGGATATACATCTTGTATTTTGCTCTTCAGAACTAATCTACCTACTGTTTCTCCGCATTGCTGCAGGTTATATGGCAAGACAACATCGATCCAGATAATATGACTTATGAGGTTCGTTGCACCTAGAAATCTACCTATATTATGCTGCTGCAACCAACCTAGACATATAAAGATGCAGTTTCTATGTTCTTGGAATTTTTAATTTCTTTTCAAACATTTGTTTGTGATGTTCAGTTTTCTTGGCAAGGTAACATTTAGTAAGAACTGGGGGAAGTATTTTAGGCATTTAGGACCCTGCTATATCTGTAGGTTAGTGAAAGAGTCAAAGTTGACATGCTTGATGTGCAGTCAAAATTTGTTTGGTTTCACATGATTTATTAACATATTTTCGGACATTGATTCGCATTCAAATGTCATGTGTCTATGGCATAGTAAGTGATTTAAGAAAATGGGGAGATCATAAGTTATGCATCTTCCCACACTTTCATATTGATTGAAAATAAAAAGAGCATATTCATATGCGAAGTTGGTAATTTCTTTTTAACTTTTTGCAGGAATTACTGGACTTGGGTGAGGCAGTTGGAACTCAAAGCCGAGGTCTTTCTCAAGAACTTATTGATTTACTGCCGACCTCGAAGTTCAAATTTGGAAACTTATTTAAAAGAAAAAATTTTGGGAAAAGGTAACATGATCTTGATTCTTGGTCTTTATTTGAACATGTTTCGTTCACTCGGTGTGATGCGATGAATATGAATCCTTTCGTGAGTTCGTTCCAACTCTTATGAACCCAAATCGGTGCATCTCTTACCATCACAATCTACAAGCCCCTTTCCCTTTTCTTGTTAAATTTCGTCAACTATTACCATGTTAAATATTCTCTAACAATCGAATTGCGCGGAAACGCAGGTGCGTTATTTGTCAGATGACGTATAGAAGAGGTGACCAACAAATAAAATTACCCTGCCGGCATGTTTACCATGGCGAATGCATCAGTAAATGGCTTAGCATTAACAAGGTCAGTCAATACGTTCATCATCTAAAGATCCCTCTTCTGAATTATACGTCTCTTAAATTTGCTTTCTCATTATTGTTGTTTTTTCCCCCCAGAAATGCCCAGTTTGCAGCGTTGAGGTATTTGGTGTGGAATCAACACAGTAGCATAAACTTGGGGAAAATATCATAGAATTTCCGAGTTTTCTTTGTTCTATTAATTAATATATATTTTTTTAATCCTCTGTTTTAGCGGTTTGTTTTGCGGTTTGAATTTTTCACAGGTAGGTAGGCTAGGCTAGAAAGAACTCGGTGGTCTTAATACGTGCTCTGTTTACTAAATCATATTGTCGCAACTTTAAGTCGATCACGTAGTTCAAGTTTATAATATTCAGCAGCGCGGATGAATAGTGAGTAGATTTGGTCCAAAAAAGAAGATAAGTTGAATTACTTTGAAATAGATATTTTTGTCTGCGTTATATATTAGGACACCTTTCATTGTTCTTATGTTTACATATCCATGGAAGTCAAAAACCAAACTCAGATTTCAGATGATAGACAAACATTAGATAAGATTACCAGAAGATGGGAGATGACGGTGATTCAGTTGGAGAGAAACCAAGTGACCAAGTAAGAGTAAAGGAGGCGCAGATGGGGGTAGAAGCACTGTGCATATAAAGCTCCAATTGTTGGGTCCCTCGCAATCTGTTCTGTAGTTTCAACCAAGCGATTGAATCTCCGAATTGGCGGAATGCACAGCGTGAAAGGAAATGCTGTACCAGCCACCATTAACAATATCTGCGGCACCATTATTTTCTCGGAATTCCCTCTCAATATCCCAACGGAAAGCAACAAAAAACTGGCTGCTTATATCTGGCCCGATCTCTCTCTCTCTCTCTGATCATTCTAAGAGTTCTTTAAGGTTTAGTGACAAGCTAGAAGAGGCTTTATGAACGCAATATCCTCCAATACGAACGCAATATTCTCCAGTCCTATACAAGTAGTAGGACCATACTAGTCCATCGCGATCTCATCGATGTTTTTCAACATTTTTCCCGATTTAAATATTAAATTACCAATGATAATTGGGGATGGTGGAAGGAGGCTAATCTCTTAGAAAGCAATTAATGTAATTTTAAATATCTACTGGGAGAAGTATCAACCATTCAATATATAATTTTATCGGCATTAAGTCTTGATAAATTAGAATTATATCATCTTAACCAAATTCACAGAAAAAGAACAGACGGCGGGAGCAAATCCCTTATCCGTGATTCTGATTTCTAATCATAAACCCGAAAAAGCAAAAAAGATGGTGCCAAATTCCTCACTCATTCATGATTGTGATTTCTTAACTATCTTTACTTCAAATGCTACGTTTCAAAATATGTGTGGGCGAAAGTATATCTTAATCTTTAACTTGCTATAATTCTTTTAACTTCATACAGTATTTTAGTTTAATTTCTTAGTTTCATAACGGATTTACTTTCAGTCGTGTAACTTTGACAGCATTAATTTCAAATAATAATTTTTTGTATTTATTTTTATTATTTTTAAAAAACTAAACTTAATATATCAACTTTTTTGTTAATAAAATTAAAAGTGTTTAGATTATAAGACTATCAAAGCACTTTATAAATTTAATAGATTAAAATGAAATTTTGTATGAGATTAAAGAACAAAAAATTAAGTGTTTTTACGCTGCGCAAGATTAATTCTCAAGATGGGATCACATAAAGAAAAATAATTTAGACGACTATTTATGAATAATTGTAAAATTTTGGATTCTACTAATTGTTGTCCTTAACATAAGATCTCATTAACTAATTTGATGAGATTAAGAAAATCAAAAAATTACTTAATTATAATCTTTTTAAAGTGTTTATATATATCACTAGAGGCATAAAAATAATAAATATAAATATTTTAAAATATTTTTTAAAATATTTTTAATTCTTTTAAATTAGTTAACTGCGTTTTAAATTAAGTATACGGGGATATTATTTAATAGGGATATATTGATGGATGATTTCTTGCCTTTTTTTTTTGGGGAATGTTTTACATATTTGGGCTTTCCAGCCTACTAAGATCTGTTCTGTCTGACGATCGGAGCAGATCATGCCGGGATCGCCACCATGTTCATTTCACTTTTCCGATCGCCGTTGTGTGCCTGAGGGGGTGAATTTTCACCAGAAACGCAAAATATTCAGAATATTCGAGCTTTTCCGAATGGCATTGTCCGGCAGAATCAGACCGGGATTGCCCCTCTACGACAAACTTGGGCATACCTCCTTTGATTCTCTCTCTACACAGAGGTCGACGCTTCCCCGATTCCTCGTTGCCCCCCCAAATTCCCAGGTGGTACAACTAAAATAATCGAAAATGGTTTCTTTCCTTTCCCATTTGCTTACCCAATTTCGCTTCCACAATCTATCAATGTAATGTGGCAATGTTTAGTCTCTTACGAGTTAAGACTTGCTTGGGACACAAGTCTTTCTCTTACTTGATACATACATACATATACACACACACATATATATATAAAGAGCTAAACAGACGTTCAATTTGATTGGAAATACAACTTCTGGTTTTTAATATAAGAACTAGTTAAAATTAAAAAAACTAGTTAAGCTATTTATTTATAATAAATAGATAATATTCTTCCTAAAATATTATTGCCAAAATTGGCTAAGACTACCTTAGAAAAAAATAAATAAATATAAGAGATAAAATAGATTGATATTTAGGATTAAAATAAAAATCAAACGAATTCTTATAATAAGAACTAAAAGTAGTATAAAATTTTAAATCACTTTATTTCCAATTTTTATTATTTTGACCTCAAATAATTTCTAAAATAATTGCATAGGTTAAGTACCTTCATCATGGATGGTTTCAAAGCACGAGCATTACTATATCCATTCATTACAAAAAATTAACTTCGAGGTAGCATAGACTCTGGGAGTTCTCGTTGTTTGTTCTGGTAATGAATACCACCTCCGGTCCTAAATATCCTAAATATAAAAACTAATTGATTAATTTGTGTAGATTAAGAAAATAAATTAAATTAATTATTTGTAATAAATAAGTATTATTCTTCCTAAAATATTTTTGCTAATTAAATTTATTGGCTAGAACTATAATTATTAGAATGACTATCTTAAAAAAATGAATAACATAAAAAATAAAGTAGATTAGAGTCTTATATTTAGGATTAAAAAAAAATCAAATGAAATCTTATTTCAAGAGGTAGTATGGTTTTTTTTTAATCCCCTTGTTTTAGCAGTTTTTCCCCCTAGTGTGAATATGCTACAAGTAGGTAGGGTAGGCTACAAGCAACTCAGCGGTCTCCATCCGTGCTCTGTTTACTCTAAACCATATTGTCGCAATTTTAAATAGTTTGAGTTTATATTATTCAGCATTGCGGATGATTGTTGAGGTAGATTTGGTCCATTTGAGAAAAGAAGATAAATTGAGTTACTTCCAAATACATATTTTTCTATGCATTACATGTTATGGACATCTCTGCATATCTCCGAGTCATCGTTGTTGTTAATAGATTTACATATTCAATGAAGTTAACAACCAAACTAAACAGATCATATTGAGATGAGCCAATACAAAACTCAGATGATAACAAACAAACATGAAGTAAAATCAGTTGTGGCTAATGTTTACCAGGAGATGGGTGAGTGACTCAGATTGAGTTGCAGACAAAACAAGTGACGAGATGAGACCAAGCAAAGCGCAGGCAGGGGTAGAACCAGTGGGCATATAAAGCTCGAATTGTTTGGTCTCTCACAATCTGTTCCGAAGTTTCCACCAACCGATTGACGTTCCTGATCGGCGGAATGCACAGCGTGAAAGGAATTGCTGTTCCAGCCAGCATCAACAGTATCGGCAGCATCGTTTCCTCACATAGAAACAGAGAGAGTAGTTTTTACAGAAACAGAGAGAAACAGAGGGATAGTGGTTTTTGCAGAAACAGGGTTAATCTGAGCTTCGCTAATTCCTAATGGAAGAAAGAAGATGGGTAGTTGTATCTGGGGTGATCTCTGTGAAAGCTCTTCGGTCTTTATAATTCGGAGCGTTTGAACTCTGGTGAGAATTTTCTGAGGTTTAGTAACAAGCAAGAAGAAAGAAGCTTCAACAGAGTCAAGGTCCCAAAACATATAAAAGTCGTAGCACGTTACGACTCCTATCATGACCTGACCCAATGCTTATCAGCTTTCCCTTTTTTTTTTTTTTTTGGGTCTTTTCATGTGTGACAAGGCTTCAATTTTTTTTTAAAAAATTAATTGCCAATCATGATAAATCCGCCGACATTTCCCTGCAAAGATATTTTCCAGTGCCCCATATTTGCTGAATAGATATTTCCTCACCGTTTTTTTTTTTTCATATAATATAAATATAATAATCTCCTAGGTTAGAAGTGGGACCATTTATATTATAAAATAGCTTTTATATTTAAAACTAAAAGATGCGTGTTTTTATATACATGATTATCTAATTGGCTTATATTCATAATTTAGGTTTCAATTTCTCTTTCATAAATGTTATATAAAATTAAAGGATTAAAATAAAATTTAATATAAATAACATTTGTTGCATGGCATAACATTGATTTACATGCTCTTTTTTTCTTTTTTTTTTGGCAAATATACCAAACTATATTTGTATGGGTGTGAATTTAACTTATTGTAATAATATGACAAAAGGTATTATTTTAATTGAATGTAATTTAAGCCAAACTTCAAAAATGGATTTAGAAATAAAAAATTGATGGTAATGATGAATCACTGTTTTTTTTTTTTTTTTGATATGAGAGGGCAAAGCCCATCATCTAGAGAAGAAATCTAAGTAGGAGGGGAAATGAATCCCATAGACTCTTTCTGCACAATGATCTGCAAAGAAGGAGGACACGAATCCAAAATGAAAGATCTAGAGAGACCCTCTTTTGCCAAGGCATCAGCAATCTGATTTTGTTGTCTCGAGAAAGCTTGTAACTTTAGCTCCCAAGGATAGCGTAAGAAGTTTTGGATCTGGAAGGAAAGAAGGCTGGCCCCTCTACAGCATTGGTCATCTTGAAGCATCTGTAGAAGTTCCTTGGCATCCGATTCAAGAATGACTCTTCTCAAACCGAGTTCCCAAGCTAGCTTCAAGCCTCTATAAATTGCCCATTCTTCTGCGTCAGAAGCTTTACAGACACCAAGGAAATTAGTGAACCCAATAATCCAGTTGCCGTTATGGTCACGGACTACCCCGCCACAACCCGCCTTACTCTTTGACTTGCTCCTTGCACCATCTACATTTAGTTTGACCCATCCCATAGCAAGACGTGTCCAAACTAATTTGTTGACATTCAAATTAATAGCACTGTGTTCCTCCTGTAGTTGAATATACT